TACAAAGTTGTCTCCTCAGTTTACCTTTTGTTCTTTTGGTGAGGTTGTTATTTAAGAACGACCTTCGTGCGCTTTAAAAGTGAACTTGAGGGGTTCACCTACTTGGAACGGTCGACAGTTTAGGGTCAGAATTTATAGTAAGACTTCAGTGTTGCGAATTCCTTTCAGTGTTTTTATGACGATGCTACATTAGCTGTTATGCCAGAATGCTATATAGGCATATGGAATTTGTATTAGTGTGCTTTTCGTACGGGAAGTCTAGCCCTAACGTGCTTTGCCGTTGTCAAATTTTGCCGTGTTTTTACGCACAAAAGTACCATTTCTGATCCAAAGAATGTACTCTTATCTATCTGTTCGGTAGATTACTTTCTTTGATTTTCACCCAACTTAATAGTTAACTGGTTTTGCTCCAGCAAAATTCGATAAAAACGAATTTTGCCCGTTTTAGTGTACTGTTTCTTTTAACGGTCTTAGGATTTTTGCATCTATTTATAAGACAGTTTATATCATTATAGTCATGAAAAATTCATGCAAACGACCTGGGTACCGTTTTGCTGTTACACCTGGCATGCAGTGCGACAACTGCAAAGGTTGGTTCCACAAAGCGTGCACAGATCTCACAACAATTGCCTACAACAGACTCAGCAAGTCGGATCGTAGGTGGGTATTAGTTATGTGCAACACGGATGCTGTAGTTTTCCTGAGTAACATCATTGCCCTATTGACAGGACTGCGGGACAAATTGTCTTGAAACTTCATAAATGACAGTCATACAACGGGTAGACAAACAAGGACGCGCAGTGTAAACGGACCATGAGTTAGAGGTTTTATTTATTTGTTTGAACACATAAATAATGGTACAAGGTGGCACCAGATACATATGCTCCACACAAAAAGTCATTTCATTTAATTGTATGAGGGCTATGATATTGCCCGGGTACCCAGACCGAAACAAGTGGTTTTCTTAAAGGGCCACACCCGGAGCCTTTGACCTAAAGGTCTGATCTATAAGGCAGTGGAGCATCGTAAGGAGGTGCAGTCCCATGGTAGCCGGTGACCAACAATTGATTCAAACGCCATTAGTTCCTTCAGGATACTGAATCCCGTGTGCACCATCGGTTTGTAATCAGGGTTTTCCAACTCCCCTAGGTGAACTTTCCGTGTCCACCAACCCGGACTTTCTCTTTTCGTCCTCTCGATTTCGTAAACAACACCCTGCCACGAGAAAGCAGTGAGTAGGACTTCCCTGACAGAGGCTATATACGCGTGGCCGTGTGAGAGCATTTTGAGAGGGAGAGCGGACTTTCCCTACTCTCGGCCGTACCAGGGCATTTGAGGGCTATTTATTTGCTAGTCCCCTATCTCCGGACAATCTGATTCCAAGGGGTGACTGCACTCCTAACAAAGAAAAAAGAACTTTTCCAAGAACTCGCCGACGTCTCCGAGGTCGTTTGCGTTACCGCGCTGATAAGCTTTATAACGCAATTCCTAAATTAATCGAACTATATTGTACAATCCATAAGGGAACAAGACAAGGAAGTAAAAAGTCAGCCATTTCTTAACCTTGTTTTCCAAAAAAATACTAAAATCTACTAATGACCAAATAAATACTGGGGTTAATTCAGTAGATAAAATAAAGAAACCTAAAAAAAACCCCCATATATAATATGCAGAGACCCTATGCTTAATAGGGAACTCGAAGCAAGAATTAACCGTAACGTAGTATGGTAGGATCTTTTAAAACGCTGTCTGTCAGTAAGTCAATCACTTCTGATCATTGTTAGTAAGAAGTGAGTAGTGATAGAGACGTTCCTTTTTAAGAAATGGCTTAATCTGAATCCATTACTCTTCACGTATTATTATTATTATCATGTTCATTTCTGGTATAGCTTTTCGAGTTGACAGTCTCACTGATAGTGAAGTAGCAAGAATAGCTATGTAATTATCTCAGAAGACAGAGGAATTGAGATGCTTCTACCACACCCTTTTTCATCTATATCTTAATATTCCTTTTCGAATTGTTGTTTCTTTTAAGCTCATTTTAATCTCATTGTTCTCGTTGATTATTCACACCAATAATTCAAATGTAGCCACTCATCGCTTTTATTTTAAAATCTATCGTAATTGCTCTCTGCGTTAGTGTAATATGAACAGTTTAAGTATTACATCAAATTCACGTGAGTAGTACAAAGTCATCTTCGGTTAATTTTTTCCCATTTAGAAACCAGTCTAAATCTGTTAATCACACATGTGACCAAAATATGATGAGTGCAGAAAAGCAACCAGTAATCAATCGTATATATTCAACTTATTTTTAGTACACTAATTCAAGAATCAGAGGGATATCAGGCGATGATAAAAAAGAAGTATTAAGAAAGCTACAACTGTTGTGTCGATACGATAGTGAGGTAAGTTACAAACACCAATTTATTTTAGAATGAAATGGCAAATTTAGAAACAGTTACAAACAAATGGAAACAAGCAGCTTGGAAGGCACTATACGAACTGATTTCTTTTTCTGGAGAAAAAACAACTGAACAAGAAATATTAAGTAAAGTGGGGATAGATCCTGCTACTATCACACTAAAATCAGAAGGATTGTAGTATCGGACAAACGACGATTTATATAATACATATTCACACTCCGATGTGGTTCGTAATTTACAGAAAAAACTTCTCTTTAGTTGTATGTGTTCAACTTAAATATGTAAATGCAATTAAAGTATATCTAGTATGTTTAGGTTTGCATCACGCTCAACGGTTTATTATAAACAGAGGCGTGTTTGTTAGAGACAGTAAAATTTAAACGCCTCAGGCAAAGGGGTCTTACAGTTGGTAACTTTTCATTTTTGCTTACTTTTGTCTATATTTTTCAAAGTACTCACGTTCTAGTCAGTCTTAGACAACGAATATATAACAGTCTAAATGACCACATGTCATATCAACACAATAATAGGATATTGACCAGATGGGAATAAGAAGAGAAGGGATAATAACATTTGGAGTTGAAAGCTAAATGTAATAAATTACTTCAAAAGGAGCAAACTAGATTGAGAGGTGGAAAGTTTAGGATAACAATAAACTTGAGATTTAGAGCGAAGTTGAATGATTGCATCTGTTCCACTTTAACCTATTTCAAATCTTGTTTCCCGGGGTCTCCAAATATTGCGCGAGTTACGTCCGTAAGGTATCAAGCTTAACCATTTGGCAGTTAACATTGTGGGTAGGCGTGTATAAAGTAAGCTTTTGATGCAGTGTGAATAATTGCACATTGAAGCTTGTGTCTTAAACAGTTTTAAAACGAATCGGCAGTAGCAGGTTACTTTAGGTCACTTGGATTCTCAATAATGTCTTTTTCATCCTATGGGGTAATGAATCTCTAAAAAACACTCTTGCACACTTTCTGGGTGCTGTAACCAAGGGTTTTAGCAACAGATAAAAACCAAAAGTTGGTATGTCGTAAAGTTGAGACTTCACCAAGGTCATTTTTCCACCCAAGACTTAAATTCATCCTCCACTTTGTACAACCAGATTCCAACAATCTTAGTGGTGTAGAAGGCTTCAGTCCCTCCTAAACATATAATGGCAGTATGATTCGTCTTTATTAAATCTTGCATCCACTAGATTAGGTTCTCTAAATATATTTATGCGAACCACATCCAATTTTGTGACTCTTAACCTTTCTTAATTTAATGCATTTTTGTTCACAAGCCAGTCACTATAGTTTTGATGTATAAAACTATTGGTCTTTGTGTTCAGAGATAACGTTTATCTGTATGATTAGCACTTTACACTCTCAAAACATTCCATAAGAACTGTGGGAAATATTTTTGAAATTATGACTAGAAGTAAAACTTAGTTAAAGAGTCAGTCACAACGTAGAACTTCGTACTTACGAACATCAGTTCGAGTTGCCATTCCACATTAGCACAGAGATGCAGTTGTCGATTCAAATCTCATAGTGGTACAGGTAGTAAGAGTATAAGCAGTAATCGGAAAGATTAAGGTTTGAAGATGTTATTGAAGGAGTATAATCCAGTGAAATAAATTTGGAAAGAGAAAAAAGAAAGGGACAGAATTCAGAAGATTATAATTTGGCAGAACACAAAGAGTGGATGCACCTTCGCCATTGCAAACGGTTTTGAGCCATATCATTAGCTGAAGAGTACAAATTCTGCAAAGCTGACATGTTATCCTGAGCCAGCTCAGGGATTACCAATATATTTATCGAAATTTAAAATTTACTGCGGAAATATTTAAGTGCGTAATCCCCATGAACTGGATATGTTTTTGACTTATGATTCCGGTAAGATTGTTAGTATTTGCCATATATATTGTAAAGGGTAAATGGAAAGATCATGGTCGCTTTTTAGTGGTTCAGAATCAAATAAGTATCCACCAGCATTTTGTTCTTGGCTGACATGAACTAGTCTTCCCTTAATTATAAAAGTCAAGCTTACGGACTAGTAAAACCATTGAGACTAATCCAACTTCTTTACCACGTTTCATACTTTTAGTCATTCTGAAAGTTCATCTACTACTGACCTTGTTTCGTAAACTTCCTTTCGTTGGCTAATCAACCTCTTTACACCATGTCCTACTGATTTTGAAGATTCAAGCCTATCAATCATTATCCTTTTAATCTATAGTAATTACATGTGTCAGATAGCCAGAAGGGCACTAAACATACTTCTTCAAGTCTAGTAGCAACATTTATACGGCAATAGAACAGTAGTAAAGGTAGTCTGTTTTTAATCCATTTAACCGATTTGCAAATATCACCCATAAGATCATTTTATACAAAATATATTAGCAAATGAAAAATTCTCATTTCATAAGAATATTTTTTGTATGTTGTACAGAGGATAATTATGCAGTCAGTGAAATCAGTCATTTGAAAAATAATAATTGTTCTCTAATCAAGTTTTAAAATTAAAAAAAGGATGATTGCACATACTTCATAGGTAGTAAAGGTTTTGAAATTATTGAAAAGAAACATATCATAGGTCGGTTACATCTTCTTCAATCAAATCTTTTATATAATCAGAACTGAATAATTCAGGTAGTCCACTTTCAGAAAGCATACTACTGAAACTAGTATTCAATGGAAGTTGGCGCCAGTCTTGTCCATCATTATTATTATATTTTGAATCATTTACTGTATTAAAAAATGAATTGGTTCAGTTAGTTGAGTCAAATAATTATCAATGAGTAAGATGAACAGTGAGTCATTCATATAAACGTAAACGTAATAACAAATGTGAGGATACTACTGAAATCGGCTAGAAAACCACTGCAAACCAGGTTGTACTAGATCAGTTGTTTCATCTTAATTTAGGACCGTTCAAGCGTGCTCGCACAAAATAGGACCCAGGAAATTCAGAATAATCGGTTAGACTAGAATACTTTATAGGGCACTAGGATAAGATGACTTTCTGCAGTAACCATATTAATTAACTACTGTAATATGCTATTAGAAATATGACCACCGTGAGTTTAAAAGATATTTTGTGTATACTCTTATTAATCCAGAGTCGCGAATCGTTAGTCGCTTTGTTTTTTTTTTTTTCACTTTTTGATCAATCGTTTATCATTCGATGGGCTTCGCAAAAATTGACAACTTTTATCCTCGACTAAAATTAGTTAGTCGCTCAGTAATCCTGTCATTTGATTCATGGGTAACTTATTAGTTCGATAACTTTAGCTACTCTGATGTTTTGTCAAACAAAATGAAACTTAAAGTACATTAATTTCACGGTCGAACAGTCTGTATTTCACCAATGCTTTCTTACTACCTTACTTGTTAATGATGAATGTACTAAATTATATGGAGTCAGTTTCAAGAAAACTATTCATATATCTGTGAGGTTATTTTAAAACGAAGAACGTTTTATTGATTTGTATGTTAAACTTGAAAAGTCTATGCACTAACAGTTGTTATGCATTATCGCTAATTAGAAAACTATCCACATATTTGTAGAATAATAAAATCGAGATAAGCAGTTTTCATCTTTCACACTGAGCTTCTGTATGTGATCTTCCCTTTAAATAACAAAATTATAATGTCAAGAATAGGCTGTCCATTATACGGTCTTATTAGCTACTTGCATTTCAGTTCGTTTTATATGGGTTCATAAAGTATTTACATGTAAATATAAATAATTTGATGTAACATAGATATTTTTTCAAAACATACTATTATCTGGTAAGTATTTGGAGTCACTTGTTTGACTAGTTTCAACAGGAATCATGTCATCTGCATCAAGAGAGAAAATAGGATGTTGAAGTGTTTCGAAATGTTCACCATAAGTACATGTAGATGGAGCAATATGCGTTGTGTCACTTTTATTTGACATACTAATTACTGAACATTGTCCATTTGTTTCCTAATAAAGTAATATTAAAAAATATATTCTTAAAATGCATTTTACTATTTTAACGCTAAAAACTAACATACAAAAATGGTGATTTATGATTATTAGATTATCATTTACACCAAATTGTATTTTAACTTAATAATCATTCATATTCTATTAAGGTCATATAGGACCAAATGAAATTTCATTACCTGCGTAGATCTATGAGGAATATCCAAAGTATGAGAATGTCCATTTCCGTTGGTTTTCGTTAGATCAATATGATGTCCATCCGTAACGTTTAGTGTATCAGGTCTACAGATTGGTGCATTGTTAATGCTGTTGTTAGTTGTATGCTGACATGGTCCCAATGAAAATTCAGTTGATTTTATTTTAGTTGTAGTGTTGTAGTTAAATGAATTGTTCCAGTCAAACGGAGCAATTGTTTCGTTATTAGTTACTTGTAATTTTGAGTAGTCTGGTGATTTGAAAACCGGTGTCTGCGGTTCTGGTTCGGACTGAGTTAACGCAGGAAATCTAACAACGAGAGATGTATACTATTCAAATATTTTTTACTTCATTATTGTTTTATATGTAACTTTATCATATACAGGTCTATGCATTCATCCTTAAGCAATACTTCGTATAAATAAAATGGGTGAGGTAGGGTTCTAACTCATAACCCAGCGATTGAAGGTTGAATGCCGTGACCACTAGGTTATTATTTTCATTGGAATAGTGATTTTCAATTGCTTAGAAGATTTTAAACAACGTAGGGTTATGTCATAAAAAATTCTACAAGTCCGAGAGTCATCCTGAAAAGTATTTCACACTGTTAGAACGGAAACCTTTTGTCACAGAAACTGATCAGCCTACCAAAACGTGACAATGGCACTCAACTAATTTGTGAGTATAACTGATTGATAAATAGAACGATGTTAATTGCGTGTTAGTTGTCTCGTTAATAACAAATACAAAGCTTTTGGAGTGTAGACATTTTCTGCTAGTGCATACCTGAAAACAAAATATTATTGAAATCACGAAGCGATCGAAGTTAAACAACCAGCTTTTATTAGTCCGTGATTTCAGTGAAATTCAACAATCTATATAACCTTATAATGATAAAATATATGTTGGACCACTTTCCAAAAATACCCAATAGTTGAAATTGCTTATTAGTTGAGAATAAGTGTTATGTGAGCTTAAATAAATTAGGCTATAAAGATTCGATTCACATACATACAACACAAGTATACATATTGTATAATTAACAATACAAATTAACAGGTTGAATTTTAGACATGGTTAACTTTGAATAGGAAATACAAGTTTTGGTTTATCTACTCAAAGTCTACTATTTACAATAATAAAGTAATCCATGTTTTCTGTTGATTTCAACTTCCGTACTAGTAATTAAATACATATTTGATAGAAAGAAGAGTAACTTACTCAGTTGAATATAGCTTGCAAGTAATACAGTAAAGAAAGGTATTCAATTGGATGGCTGTAAACACAGCTCTCAAGTACACTGACTTTGTTTTCCCATAGTTTAACCAATTAATGAATATTGTAGACAAACCATTTTTAACAGCTATAATAGTAAGAAAGTTAATTATAATTAATGAATGCAAGCAAGTTCAATACTCAGTGAAATTCAGGTTTCTTTCCCAAGTCTAGATTGCAATTTTCCTACTGTTTCGAATTCTACACCTCTACGTGGCTCATACCAACCATCAGTAACTTCACAGACTTCCCTGATTGGGATATGTGTTACGTGTGGTTGATCACTGTCTACCGAGACGAGTTATTTCAGCTGGTGAAAGTAGGGCGGAGGAAATTCTTGAAAGGCCAAACCAAGACTATCAATCCATAAAATGACTGACTGTTGGTCTAAGCTATGCTAGTAGATGTGTGCTACCTGATTGAAGTCCATATGATAACCGCGGCCAGTAGTTGTTACAATGACACAGATGCATTCATCCTTTATCTTCCTCTGGATCTTGAATCCCATTATTCGTCAATACGTATCTTTCCGCTATTTTTTAAACCATATTTCCAGTGTTTAGTCATTCTGGCTTTCATTACTACCATATCCCTTCAGACTCCTACAATCCGTTTTTTGTTCCCATCTCATCGTGCTGACGTGGCAAGGCACATCCGTCCTGTGCTTTTTGTCAATGATATTATGTTAATAATTTTTGACTGTTAGAAAGACAAAACCTAGTTTTTGGGGAGAAAAGTTATATTTTTATATATTTCTATACATCGATTTTCATTGTAATCTCAACGGAATACAAACTTTGTCAGTTCATGATTACCGATGCTTCTGAATCCTATCGTCTACTAAATAATATTAAGTTTATGCAGACGGTCGGTATTATTATTCTGGTATAATATATAGTGTAATGATGGGTTAGAGCGAGGATACACAAAACCAACACATTGAAATATGAGATAAGTAAAGTATGTAAGCCTGTAATAAATTGAATAGCTCACTGTTATTTCAACCAAAATTATCTGAATTATATTCTTCACTTAACTTCTCGCTGACTGTTTAAGATTCACGAAAATCCGAAGCCATTTGATAAGACGTTTTAAAGTGAATGCTTTCTGACCATGGCTATAATCTGTGATTAAACTTATAAATTATACTATCTTAGTTGAATGATAGCTTTTTAATTTTGTAATACATATATTTAGGTGCTTACCTAGTGGTCGTACTGTAGTAAACAAGACTTAGTGGGGAAACCAATATATTGTTTAAAGCAGAATTACAGCATCTTCGTAAAATATGTGAACTATAAATACACCATTTGCACATCTTCCATTAGTTGCCCTTTACGTACTTCATAATTCTCCTCATTCTGTTGTTACCCCAAATGCCCCCCTTCCGGCTGCTGCTATATACTACTTATGTCAGTCGGCATAAGTAGTACGCACCACACTACTACCTCAGCCCACCTCATTGTAGTATTTTATCAAGTCAATTGTTTCGTCATAGCATTACAGACTAATTTTTACTGTGTTACATTCAACATTATTTTCGTCAGTTACATAGTTGAATTGTCAGGATAACTCGGTATCCATAGTGATACATATGATTTATGTTCATAAAATATAAGAGATTTTCTCGTAAATAAAGGTCTGTAACTTACTTTCTTGTATTGCATGTGTGACAATATTTTGTTCAGGAATGGTAACAAATTCTTCAACATGTTTGTCCAACAAATCTTTAGCATCCCAACCAAGTATTGATTGTGAACTGAGGAAATTTGGGCAAAAATAAATATAGGATGGAAAACATAATACCATCAAGACTAACCACGTACATATGTTTAAAAGTGAATTGAAGTAGTTGAAAAATCTCAGGGGAAAGTGAATAAAAAATGTGTCTAATTTGTATACACTGAACACTGATAGTTGAGTTATTTAAAAACATAGACTCAGGAAGCTGTGTTAAAAATGTTAGATATTGTTACCGTATTTCTACCCCGAGAGCAATGATTAAATGGTAGTGTAGTGTGTGCACAGTTTCAATGTTTAGTCCCACTCCGAGATAAGCAAGAACGAAGCACTGCATAAAACAGGCTTGCAGAAAGACGATGGAAAATCACAATATTCACAAGTATAGGGGCTTGGTTATGTCGACGAACTAACGGTGAACGAACAAACACCAGGATAACAGTTTATTTTCAAAACAACATGTTTTCCGAAGAAGGTGAAATAAATGATATTGACGATAAATTGATGTCGGTCGAGTGTAGTGGTAAAACTTTATATTGGGTAAACGTTTTAAACTATCTAGAAGGGGCTGGACTATGACAAAACTAAGCTATGCTGCAAAAAGGCCTTGTGGTCTAAAATAGTTTCTGCCAACCAGAGGACAGCTGTATATGATTTATTGTATTGAAAGACATTTTACTTATGGTGTATCAATTTAACATTAAAAGCAGACTGATTTGCGGTTACGGAGCTGAAATAGGTTTATATGAATCTAAGTGTACTGTAGACGAATTTGTTTCGGTGTTGTAGGGAATTTAAATGCGTTTTTCTTTATTCATTCTAAGTACAGCTTGAGGAAAACAATATTTGTATTTACTTGTTGGATAATTGACATTCAAGTTAAAGTAGATGCAAGACCTGTGGCAGTTTTTGAAAAAGCGATTATACAATGGTATCTTTGCATGAACTGAAAGTTTCATTTGCATTTCATTTTACATTGTGAGGGGTATTCAGAATTAGATTTGTTTAGGAGTGTTTTAATAAGTCGTATTCGGGATTGGATTAACTAAATACATAATTATTCGCACTTATCCAATGTAATCCACATTTTAACAGTTGATTTCTACATTACTGTTACTAAGAGTAAAACTTTTGATTTGATAAACGAATTTCCGGTTGCAAAAATGAATAAATAGAATGGTTGCTGATAAGTGATACTCTGTGATACCATACGGCCGAGTGATGGTTGCTGACAAAACCGGGCTACTTGTTATAACGTATAGTTTTCTGGCGCCCTTATAATATATGTGAACGTGCAATGATACAGAAAATACGTACGAGCAGTCTTGGGTGCTATTCGGTCCTTCCTATCTGCCTAGCCCAGCCCGTTAAGTCCAAAACACAAATAACAGCCTCAGCAATATGAATCATTATTCACAAGCATACTGGGTTATATATACTAACCAAACAGACCACATATATCAAAAATAGAAAAATAACATTTGTACAGTAATTGGCCAATGTGGCTGTAGCTAGGGGGAAAGTAATCAATAATAATAGTTCCAAGGTCAAAATAAAGGTTATGATAAGAGGAACACGGAAACGATTAGGTCACTTATTTAACAACTATCCAATAGGGAATGGGCATATTGTATTTGTCCATAAATAGACCTCAGATTTAAGTCACTTATTTAACAACTATGCAATAGGAATAGGCGTATTACATTTGTCCATAAATGGACCTCAGATTTATGATTCATAATTCGCCAGGGGATACAACACTACTGATGTGAGCCCTCAAATGAATTGAGATTAAAGACAAGACTACTAATCAGACGAATAAGTCTTTTTTTCTAATAGAATAATATCCTTGTATATCAAATATATTAACAGCTTAGATTGACTTGCGAATTCAACTTTAAAAATACAATCTCAAATCCCCATTTCGACAATAATTATGTTCTCACTAATGACTAGCTTTAAAATGGATTCCCTGGAGTTTAGAATCGATAACCAGTGGAGTCCAATCCGTGTCAGGTGTGAGACAGTTATCCACTTCAGACAATAGATGAAGGGTTGTGCAAGATCATGGATCGATCGGATTTAACCATTAACACCGTTAGATGCCGGCTCAGCGGTCTAGATGTTAAGCGTTTGTACACGAGGCCGAGGGTCCTTAGTTCACGTCCCGCCTGTAGGATTGTGGATGCTAGGACAAAACGGCCGTCTAGCGCCTCCAAGTTCAGCTCTGTGGGTTTTTCACTCTGCAGTTAATTAAAACTCGACCATCAGACCTAATGCTTATTGATTATATCACATTATTATTTAATAAATGAAAACAATCAAGAACTTATTCATAAGAAAGAAGAAGAATAGTACTTACTTTCCAACAACTTCTGTTATTGAAAAAGTATTCACTTCAATCCGTAAAGTAACGTGATCAGAATTGATAGTTTTATTACGTGAAGTGGGTTTCTCAAATGAATTATCGGGAACAGTTGGACAGGCTATATCCAAAGGGCGACAGACACCACGGAATAAATAGTAAGCTTCGGAACAATCATTAACATCTAAGTTTACAGGAGTAAGAATTCGAAAATTATGAATACGACAATAATTATTATAAATAAACATTATGATTAAGTTTAGAATGCATAAAGTCAAATCTGATCAACCGGCAGAAGCGAAAGCAATTAGGATGAAAAAACCATAGCTGTGTGTACAAAAGAAATATTTTTAACCTCTTCTCTTGCCATGACCAACATCAAGGCCATTTAATTAATAGTAATCTTAACTATTGAATTAGCTAATCTGGCCAATCTACTTACAGCTTTTCTTACTTAGATATGATACCCTTCGTTATTTTTACTCACATATCTTTGTTATTATTATTATTATTGGTTTAACATTACTATTATTCTCTTGAACACATGAATAATCTACCTAGCACTCACCTTTTACTGCTTTCATATAACTTTGTACACAATATAGTCTTCCACTGGAGATTGGATTGAATTGGTAATTGTACTAGTATTTCTCTCATCCTGTCTGGCCCATATTTATTCTGTTAATGAATCTCATAATTTCATTTAACGTATAAGCTGGTTCAAGTTAATACTGGAAGTTAGTCATCTCAACATTAACAATTGTATTCTATTTAACAACCCTAAATTCACATGATACGATATTTAAACGATATACTTTGCCACACACCTGGCCACATTTTTGGGTTATAATAATTATCTCTTAATGGTTCGAAATGATTTTCGGGAGAAAATGTAAACAAGAAAAATAAATCTATCAGTGAACAGAAACATGTGTTGGTTTTTTCAAAAGATAGTAACGCATTTGAACAGACAATAACATACTTTGATAAACAATGTCCCCACAGAATTCTATAAACCGATACAGTTGACCATCACAACCGCGTATACAATGTTTTACTGGAATACCAGATCCGCAACACATGGCAATGATGAAATTTCGTGAAACAAGGTCTATAAATGCGTATATATAAAAAATTATAGTGTCTAGAATGAGAGGAGAATGAGCAAATGTATGAATTTGTTGCTTACAGTTACGCACTGAATATTCAAATTTTTGGGCATTGCTTTTTAGTGTAACTAGTCATTTATTATCGAATTTTAGGAAAAATAAGTTTTGTATTATTTCAGCTTATAAAACAACTATCTGAAAACTTTTCATATACCAAGATAAATAAAGTAGAGTGGAAAAAATTAACAAACAAGACAGCGGCACTATGTGATGTACGGCATCCATACCTTACGAGAATGGAGTGATGTCTTTTGGGTGTCATGATGAACAGATCGATGGTCAACCATAAAGTTTATTTTTTTTATTTCAGTAAACGTCTACTGTAGATTGACTGTTTTCTGGATCCCACAGCAAAATTTCTAGGGATAATATTGAGAAAAATAATTTCCTTAGGTGAATTACTAATCGACAAAAGGTAGGTTACTAGCCAATTCGGTAGCTTTTAAAAATGGATTAATTTGAGGAAAGCTTTTCTTACCGACTAATATCATTTAAAAAATCCGCAAGAAACTTAAAAATTAGACCAACAGTTGTTTTTACTTGCAAAAAAACACCCCTCGAACTTGTAGAGAGTTTCAATGTAATTTTAAATACCGTTCCATCAAATCTAACCGCAACACATTGAATGGTAATTTGTTAAGTTTATAATTTCTTTGGAAAATATTCACATACACATGAGTTATTTAACTTTCCGAGACTGCACACTGTATACATTTATAAATCATAAACACTTATGAATAATATCAGTGTAGAGGGATTTGTGGAGATTGCAGAACTTTTATACTTTAAATCATGAACTGATTTTAACTAGACCACCACTAAAAACCTAGTAGCATTGGACTAAGTTACTCGGAAAGTCCTCTGACATTTGAATGATTTTATCTATACTGAGAATAGTCATATGCTTATTAATAACTGACTTCAAGATACAACTCCAGGCATTCAGCGACGTTCAGCAATATCGAGCGTCAGACAGTTATCCACTGCATACAATGGATGATGATAAGGTAACATCGTAAGTTGATTGATGCTATATATGTACACCATTGGATGCCAAATCAGTTGTAGAGTGGTCGTTTGTGAGACCGAAGATCCTGTGTTCCTGTCCCCTATGGAGACATCGTGGATGTGCACTATCGAGAGGTCTTATACTAAGACGAAACAGTCGTCCAGTGTCTCTTAGTTTTAAATAGTGTTCTAGCTAAGATCAGTTCGTGGTTTAAGCTGTGGAACATATAAATATTCAGGTAACTATAAAAAGTGATTATCTTACTTTGATTTTTTGGTGTTAACTTTTTGAACTGTGCTATTTCTCAATATTAAAAGGTTACGAAATCTATTATGCAATATTTCGTGTTCGAAAACAGTTAACTGCTCTCACTTCAGTAGTGCGCTCGAAACTTTCAGTTTCGATTTCCAAGTCGGTAGTATTAGATAATAATAATAATAATAATAATAATAATAATAATAATAATAATAATGGTAACAATAGTAATAACAATCTGTTTACGAAAATAATTAAATGATTGACAAATTAATTGGAAGATGGAGTGGTGGATACGGTGGTGATTATTCAGAGAGATACTATAATTATTAAATGAATGAATTGACACACGTGTAGTTATAGAGCTGATTCATCGCATAAGATAATATAACAGCAACAACCTACTGAAGCAAATAACAAAACAGATTCCAGCCGAAGAAGAAATTAAGAAAAGAAGCTGGAGGCGGATAGGAAACACATTGTGGAAATCATCGAACTGCATCACGAGGTAAGCCCTAACTTGAAATCCTCAGAGTAAAAGGAGAGGAAGCATACCAGAGAACTCATACTGCACCGAGAATTCAAGAAAAAAATCAAAAGAATGAATAGCATTTGGCAACAACTGGGAGAGCCCAGGATAGAGTAAGTTGTAGAATCCAGATCGGCAGTTTATGCCCCATGAAGAGTAACAGGTGTAAGTAATAATATAATATAAGAGAATACTTTACGAGGACTGATAAGTCGAATATTGAAACCAGTTACGTATGTGTGAAGTGAATGTTACAGTTTTGTGTCAACAAAAAACAAGGAATTTTTTGCGGAAAAAACATTAGGAAAAAAGTGTGCGGTTATATATATATTTTACAATGGTACAAATATATTTTACTATTACTTACGTCCATCTCTGGCTTGTTGCATTTCTGAACCATAAAACATGAGGCTATCAGTGATAATTTTTTTTGTATTAACACTTGGTTCGGCTAAATCATAAATTGTTTTGCCTAGAAAACTACTCTAGAACAAAATGAAAAGCAAACAGTACATAATGTTAGCATAATATATAAGACAACTGAAAAAATTATTGGTAGTCAGATAGCTTTATTGATAATGGTAAAAGACATTTTCTAATGATAACTAACGAAAAACATATGCAACTTAATAATTTTTAATTTCGGATCATGATCTAATCTGATTTCAGTAGTCTGCTCATTTGCTTAAATATAATAATATATTTTTCGATTTACGAATTGTTTTAACGAATTAATTATTTTCAACTCATAATGTAAACATGAGTTCACCAAACCTTATAACTTATCGTAATGCTAAATATTTAAGTTTATGAAGTGGAAACATAATATTAGTTAGTACATTTTCTTCCTTATCAATTTATTGTAAGAATTATATCAATTACTAATCGCGTATAGTTTTCTCTATTTATTTCAAGCCACATTTGTGTGTATGTGAGCTTGCGGTCAGCTTGCATTCAACTACCCAAAATGAAGTGGATGAATCGAGATTCCAGCCTACGACAGATCGGCTGAAAATTGAATGTTATAACCAGTAAATCACCGATCATCGGAGGAAAAAGACACAATTATATTGATATTCATTTGTAAAACACACAATACAAAGGCTTCACGATACTGTGACCGAAATCCATATCTTGCAATGAGACATATTGTAAAAACAGAACTGTCTAAAAGCCTGTGCGGTTGTAGATAACCGGTACATAATCACTAGTGTGAAGGTTTCATTCAATAGACTATTCGAATTTGTACAGGTAAAATGTATGTTCAACAGGGATTAATTGTAATACATTTTATTTTTGCCGATGATCCTCTATAATAACTAGACATAATATAGAGTGGGATTGTTTTTTCAGTAAAATTTGACTGTTTTTTTATTTACAAACGACCATCTGATGCTAAATAACTGTGTGATGTATTTTTCGTCGTAATATTGTACCAGGTCTTGATGCTCAAATAAAACGTAACTTATTTCTTGAATAGTCATTTAAATTGTAACAAGAAAATGGGTAATAACGAAAAAGACCTATTGTGTCACTAAAGAAGATAGGAGATTCAGCGAAGAAAATGAGATCGTCGAAAAGGAAATTTTCTACGTGGAATTACCCTTATTCTTCTTTAAGAAAATTGCTATTTGTCAGACAAATACTTTTTTTGATGTAGACGCGAAAATCACTACACGTTACTGTGTATTACTGAAAACTATGGATTTGCACTTAAAATATTAGAGAAAAAACACTGGTTTTTAGATTAGCAACCTTAAAATGTAAAAGTAGACCTGATTGATGAATCATTGTTTTGTTTATTCATAAATTGATAGTTTTTACTTAGATTCTTCCTGGGAATTTCATTTCGAAAGTTGCATTCGAATAATTGTAGGTTAAGCTACTACTCATTATGGTACATTCAGTTAAACAGTCACTAGATAAAAGCCATAAAGTGAATTCTAGAATCAAGCTAGACCATTAAGTTATTATTAGTGATCATGTGTACAGTTTCATATTCAATGAGTGTCAAGTCATATAACTATTATGTAAAGACATAGGATATTGAACGGAAGTCACTCGGACTGAAATAGTTCGGGGTGGATACAAAAAAATACTAGTGACCCTGGTGTTTGAGAGTCAACTCTTTAAACTATGTTAATCTAAACACTTAGGTGACTAGGTTTACATTTTCAAATACATTATACTTGCTTATGAACTCCATTTTGTTAAAAATGATAACAACAATAATACAGTTCACAACAATAATGAAAATAATCATTGAAAAACTAACTTGAGGAATACCAAGTATTTTTTCAGAGTTTTCTTCATATAATATTTCACCACTGGAACATTTGACATGTATACCAAATCCATTAATAGTCTAATAGTATATATGTATTAAAGATGTATATATATATTTGATAAACAAGTGAAATGAACAAATCTTACATTGATAACAATTCGTGAATACTCTTCATCATTGATGATATATTCCCTTTTCCCCAATTTGTCTAAACAAAGTATACAGTATACTTAGAATAATGACAATAATAATAATAATCATTATAATTACTACTGTAATTGATAAACATCAAACATACTGTTATAATGAATAAGTCGTTCAGCTCCAGCAAGAAAAATGGATAATTTATCTTTACATTGTGAATGTGGTACTTGACGGTGTAGAAATTCTGTTTCTAATTTCATTCGTTCACGTCGTTTCCTCTCAATTTCACTGTGACTTTCTCTGTATGAAAAAAAATGACATAATAAAGAAATTAAACATCCAAATAATAATAACAAAATAAGTGGTGAATATAATGAATGATTATGACTAATAAAACTTTGCATGTTTCAAGTTATTAAATAATACACTTTCTTAAAAGTGGCTTTCCCTTGCCATGTGTTGAGATCATAGACAAGTAGATATATACATACACGCATCACCGTATATATATATATATATATATATATATATATATATATACATATAACAGAGCATGTCACTAGACATTAAAATATAAATTCTCAGCAAACTATTTCATTATTTATTGATTTTAGGCACGTCGGTTGGATTGTTATTGAATGAACTAGAAAACTCAATAATAAGAACTGAACACTAAATAAAGAGTAAATAATTTATACAGTAATCAATGAGTGGTTGAAACATACAGAATAAACTTATAACATAATGTCAGGATACAGAACAGGAGAAATGAAGTAATACTGTTGCGAAAGAGTAATGATAATACTAATAAATAAAATGAACAAATAAAGATGTAACTAAAATGAACTGCACTTTTCTTGGCAATTTAAAGACCTTAAAAAACTACACCCATAACATTTAAGTCATACAATTAACAATTTCTACAAACATTAGTTTGTCTGATCTATAGAAGATAAATTATAAAACACAAAATGTGTCCAATTAAGGAATGAAGAGTTCAATGTTTCTTCTGGATAGATTTTTATTGACAGCTAAAAAATACAGTGTGGAAGAGAAGGGGATCCCGTTTAGAAGCAGATATTCCAACCATACATGACAAGAAATTTGTAAAAACTAGAAAATAATCAAAATCCTACTGAATCAAAGTTGTAAATTTATTGTCTGATTACTAAAGGAACGAATAGATTAACCAGCTGACTGTTCATTAAATACTTTCTAGATTAATTGAGTAGAATATAGAACACAACTAGAAATAACGTGATTATAATTAAAGCTTTCTATCTTTTGGAGTTTATATTTCACAGGTGAAATGTAGGTGATGCACAGAAATGAAATTAAGATTCCTATTGAATCCGTGAGTTAGTACATAAGTTCACATTAAACAATATTTACAGAGTGAGAAATAAAAAAACGTTGTCTTACTTTTGCAATTTTTCTTTATTCTGTTTACGAAACGTCTGACCCTTTTCCATGCCTTAGGTGTAAATTTTGTCTATATAAGTAAGTTGTTTTTTAAAAAGTTCAAGCGAAGAGATAAGAATTACCAGTTTGATATGAAACTTTTACGCGAGAAATAAAATTTGGTTAATTTAACACATAATACGAACAATAAGCTAAATATGATATTTTGTTTTTAAAACTGTAGAGAGGCAATGAACTAACAAGAGATTGCGCAGTGTTATCTTTGGGATTTAATGAATCTCCCACGGATATGTGCATCGGTCCAAGTTGCCACACCTCATTAGCACACCAAGATGAACACCAAATTCATAGTAATTAATTTAATGGTGGCAATATATAAAGGAAAGATTGTATATAAGGATATAGTACAGGAAGAAAGATGTGAAGCAATTTTAATCTCATTTTTTAAGGGAAGACAAGGGGTATATACACCTACGCCATTGTGATCGATTCTGAGCCATGTCATACAGAGTTTCCACACATTGGTTACGACAGTCACACGGACCCCAACAAATTAGTCTGCATCTACCAACATGGCTCGGACTAAAGGTTAGTGAATTCAAGCAGGGATGACACGTTTTAGTTTGGCTGCCCCTAACTCTTTTTCGACCTTCACCAATACTAGTCAGCTTAGCTCACATTAGGTTTTAGAAAGCTTACAAATGAAGCATTTAATGACCAGTGGAAACTTGGGAAAATGTTAGCAGAGATATTCGAGATTAGGCAGAAAAAATGAAACGCAAATAACTAAATGGCTGAAAACAACCAATACTGAGATCCTAGTGATAAATTTCTTAAGACATCGTCACGTACTACATAGATTGTCCACAAATATTTTGGCCTACACGTTTAAAATGGGCTGACATAGGAGACGAATGAACATACGGTTGAAAATCACTTAGCCTTGGAAAATATGTTGCTGAGTCTTAATTTATTATGTGAAGCAAAGATAAGTGCATAGGAATATGGGAGAACTGCACATAACCGTTGCAGCATCCTTTCATTGCGTAATCACCACGCGTAAACAAGTGGATATCTGACTGCTCACCAAGTCAAAAGAAACGGAAAATGGTATTACGGTAGAAAATATGTGTTTGAAAGTTAGGTTTCTAATTATTCAGAGATAGTAACAGTACTCTGTGTCAAGAGGTCGACAGCTTATGTAAATAAATGTCACTTAACTAGCCCAATAAAAGTTCTCAATACATAAAGATCTCTAATATGAACATACTCACCGGATAACAAGAGCACAGTCAACTAATCTGAAGACTAAATAAACCTAGCACCGATTAGACCTAGATGATCTAATTATGCGCCGAAATACGACCTTCTTCTAAATTCAATACCAAATACTAGTTAGTTTGGAACAATCAGTTATTTTAATACGTATGGATAGAATGTAACAAATCGTGAGTCATTTTTTGATGGATTATCAAGGGGCCTATGTTAAGGAATCAGGATGAGATAAAAATGGCTTAGTAATTGAATATGTATGCTGTAGACAATGTTAATTCCCGATATAAGGTCTTCGAAAAAAACCTGGATTTTAATAATCAATAGTAGGCTCTTAAATGTAACTAATCTAAGATAGTAGGACGTGTGGCTACAACCTGATTCTAATTACTGGTTATGCACACTGTATAAACCTTTCAATGTTGATGTTCGGAGTGAATATACGTAACAGTCTTTAAGAGAAAGAAAGTATGTGCATGTGTTAAGGACGCATTTTTATCTGTAAAAAATACTTTAAATGAGTGCTTTAGCAAGCATTTGAAATTAATTCACAATTTATTAGGGAAAACTGAACGCTATTAGCTCTTGGTAAATCAAACTTCTAAATAACAACATGGACCTGTGAGAAACACATCTACTTCTCAAGACAGCCAGCCTAGATGTTTCTATTTTTTGTCTGTACTTGATTGAGAATTAATTCCCTCATTGTCATCAGAGCACTCTTCCTTGTATATCTGAGGTAGAAATCGCTGGTAGACACATGGAAACTAGTATCGTCTCTTTTCTTCAAGGATGTTAGATTATCCTTTCGAAAACTGTTATAATACATTATGTATATTACGTACCAATTTAACGAATATAAAGCAAGCATTTTGAAATCCACTTTTATCACCTGAGCTGATCTTTTTAGATTGAGTGAATTTAGACCTGCGTATTAGAGGCGTTTTCCGTCCAACGAGTGTGTATATGTAGCCGTATATGCAACAACCAAAGTTCAAATATAATTGTTTAAATGAGGAAACCACTATTAATTTTATTCAGTCAATCCACTAGCTTTCTTGTAGTCTATAAGACTTTATGAGTCATTTACAGTAAACAATTATACCTCAACGATCTCAATAAACATTAAAATGCTTTAGAATCTGTGGTGCCATCCCAACAAATTTAACCAAACAATGCAGAATAATTCAATAATACCAATCGATCATAATAAAGGTCGAACTTTTCTCCATCCCGAAACAACTTACTATACGCCAAAAAATATTGTCACTAAATACAATTGTCAGTTATCTGAGGATATTCTCAATAGAATGTGCCCGAAATTCTGTTCTCAAGAACCATATAATGCAGCAATCCTTTTGTAATAATTAAGAGTATTTGAGTTACTATAAGAATGGGGAATTCCTCAAAAAATACAATTTGCAGCGAGTAGAAATAAATGAGCACAAAATAACGTATCGTATTTTGAATTCGGAAACATGCAGTCATGCAAACGATCCGAGTACGCGGAACGTTATTCCCGGTCTCCTGAAAACACGCTTTAAACTATGTGTAGGAGCTTTTAACGTCTGAACACTGTGCTTAATAGGACAACCGGCTTCCTTAGCTAGGACTTCAGAATCTCACACAATCGATGTGTGCTGCGTCTCCGGAATGCATGTTCAGGATCCGAGTAGCGTCATTCATTTGACCTGACCATGTAAAAATTAAGGACCAACTCCATTCACACTTCGTGTCTCTGGATGCCCGGATGATGCTTCCTGTGGCCTCTCTGGCAAAGGTATAGCATTGAGTCCTGGGGCAGAACTAGCTCTTTTAGACTGAATCCCAGTAGACAGTCGTCTGTGCGCTGTCCGACTAAATGGAACATTAAGGAAAGATAGTGACACTCATATTTGCCTCTTCGTTGTCTATGCCTACTCTCCCACTGACTGCAGCTCAGTTGATGTAAACGATGACTTTCACAGAAGGCTTTCAGACCTTCTCTGATAGGTTAGGCGCTCTGATGTAGTAATAATGGCTGGTGACTTTAATGCTCAAGTTGGTAAACTAAGCGAAAGGAAAAGACACCTGGGTGGATCTTATGGTGTTGTGGCTGAAGAACAGATATTGGCGACCTTACGTTGCAGCTATGCTCAGATAACTGACTGTTTCTAGTAAATGTGACCCCCAAATTCGCCCCAATGTTGGACTCAACTAGACCACATCACTATAAGCCACTGGTGGAGGATTCTATAGAGGACTACCTCTCGTTTTGGAGCACACGCTTAGATTTAGATCATGCTCTAGTGTGAGTCCGCATTTCTCTGCGTCTTATTGGACATAGGAAAGACGCTTCAAGGAAGCCTCTTAGGGTTCTACTTTGTGATGTGCAAGCTAAGAATATATTCGAGGAACAACTAGAAAAGCAGTTAGGCAGGCATGTAAGTTGTGCACACCCCGATGCAGCGTGGGATAACATCCAAAAAGCTGTGGAAACAGCAGTGACATCTGCTAGTACGGTAAACCATAAAGTTAGGGAGAAACACTGGATCTCAGAAGCATCTACCGCACTGATTAATGCGAAAACTCATCCCACCTGGCTCTAAACGTAACGAAGAGTGGAGTCAGCTTAAGCGCAGGCTAATAAGAAGTTTATACAATGATCGTGAACAGTGATGGGTAGCGAATATAAGAGAGATGAAAAAGGCAGTGGCAATAGACAACAGCAGACAACTATTCAGACTTGGTAAAGAAACCGGTATTTGGAACCCAACTGTCAGCGAAGCTATCTCGAAGAAAGATGGACATATCATTCATTCTCAATCCAGGAGATTGGATCGATGGCCGGAACACTTTGAGGACCAGTACGACTGGCCTTTAGCCACACTTCGGTTTCCCACGATCCCCAATCGTCCTGATTGGCAAATTGATGTAAGTCCTCCAACTCTCTACGAGTTTAAAAAGGCTATAGGAAATCTGAAGCGAGGGAGAGCTGTAGGTCCTGACAGGTTTACTCCTAAGATTTTTAAGGATAGTGGTCCAATACTAGCAGCGAGATTGACTGAGGTCTCAGGCAGAATCTCGGAGCTGGACGTAATTCCATCTGACTAGTCCCAATCACTGATTGTGCCAGTCTATAAGAAAAGAAAAAAGTTCTCTTGTGACATTCACAGAAAGATCAGTTTGGCTAATATAGTGTCTAAAATATTAGCTTCAATAATACTAGGACGCCTAATCAATGCTCTTGAAGAGAAGACTAGAGAAAATCAGGCTGGTTTTCGACCTGGTTGTATAGACCAGATATTCACTCTAATTCAGATCCTAGAACATAAATACACGTTCAGACGTCTCACAATAGTAGTATTTCTTGACCTTAAGGCGGCATTTGACTCCGTTGATCGTGAGGTTCTATGACAGTGTTTGTCACTGAAAGGAGTACCAAAAAAACATAAACCTCATAAAGGCTCTCTACTCGGACACAACTAGTCGAGTTACAGCCTACAGCGAACTGACATCAGAATTGGTTACCTCAAGTGGTGTTTGTCAGGGCTGTTTACTCTCCCCATTCCTGTTTAACTTTGTCGTTGCCATGCTTTTAGAGATAACACTTTCATCATCTAGATCTCCAGCAGTTGAACTTTTGCCAGGAGACTCACTTGTTGACATAGTTCTATTTCATGAGGACACTGACAAAACGCAGAGTCTTCTAACCACTAAAAGCAATTATGCCGGCATGTTTGGGATGCGATTTTCCCCCTCGAAATGCAAAATGTCACTTCAGGATTGGGTTGCATCGGCGCCTGAACGAACGATAGGAAGTGGAGTAGTTGAACGTGTTGACCGCTTCACGTATTTTGGTAGTCTCATCAGCCCTTGTGGTCTGGTGTGTGACGAAATCTCAACACGGATACGGAAGGCTTGAGTGGCTTTCGTCTGTTTGCGTCATTTATGGCGCAGGCGAGATATCCATCTATCAACCAAAGAACGGGTTTACTGTGCAGTAGTTCGTTCCGTCCTACTTTATGACAGTGAAACATGGTCAGTAAAAGTAGAGGATATGCG